ATCTTTCAGCTATACCACATAAAAAATATCTGATTTCATTCCTAAATGTCTGCCGCCGATGTTTCGTCCTTTAGTATGAAAATGAGGCAACCTAATATGCTACCAAGCAGTATGTGTCTGAATAATTTACCTTAAACATGTCTAATAAAAAAGTATTGCTTTTTTCTACCTTGGTTATTAGTTCCTATAATGAGTTCGCTACCTTATCTTAAATGCTTGCATATAATTGTTATCTTATCATGGTCTTTTGAAGCACCTAATTAATGCGAGAAAACGACGGTGATGGTTATTCATTATTTGACTTCACCGACTTGATTTGATCAAAGGCGAATATCGGATATCACATAATATTGAGCAAGATCCGGGAAGATCCGGGAAGAAAATAGGCCTTCAGTAACCCATGCTTGCTGTAAAAGGTGACTATGCTTGTCGTAAGAGGCGACTATAGGGATCGGGTGGTCAGGCTCGCTGACTTGGTTGATCCATGTCATGGATCCCAAATGCGTGGATCCATGCTCATGATATCAATCACTGGATTGTCTGGTCCTGTTTACAGACCGCCGTCATTATTTACAGACCGCCGTCATTATTTACAGACCGCCGTCATTATTTACAGACCACTCATAGAAAAAAACATTTATTTGTGGAGTCGAGTTACTATTCCCTATTTTGACTCGTGCCATATGTTCCCGTTTGAGTGAGGGAGTGAGTGAGTGAGTTGGGTTTAACGCCGCTTTTAACAGTATTCCAGTTATATCACGGCGTGTCAGCTTAATGTGGGAGGAAAGCCCGAAGTGATGCAGGTCTCAGGCGTTTACCACTTCGGTGAAACCCACGAGCACGGGTATGGTGCTGCCAAACCTAGAAACATAATCGGGGCGAACCAGGATTCGAATCCACAATCATAGGTTACCATTTGTCATTGGCATTCTACTTTTAGAGTATAAACGACTTATTGCGTAGCAAGCAATCTGTATATGTGCGCCATCTACCTCAATTGTCGCATGTGTCACTAAAGTGTGTCGGTGTACATTGCCTGAGAGGGGCATTTATACACAGTTACATTGTTCTGAAGCCTGTGTTGCTAACATTGCCTGAATGTGTGTTGGCTTTGCATGTGTTTGTGACAGGTAACATCGGTGGAGCAGGATAGGCTTACATTTTCGCTAATACCTGGGCCCACTTGCACAAAGCGATCTCAGCGGTAAGATGATCGTAACTCCCATGCTTTAACATTGGCTTACAATAGTCTTAGCGCTAAGATCGCTTTGTGCATGTGGGCCCTATCTTCATCACTATTTCATAGTGATTCAAAAACACGTGTTTATGAGGACCCGTGAAGATCCGGGGTAGAATAGGTCTTCAGCCACCCATGCTTGCCGTAAAAGGCGACTATGCTTGTCGTAAAAGGCGTCTAACGGGATCGGGCGGTCAGTCTCGCTGACTTGGTTGATGCATGTCATCGTATCCCAATTGTGTGGATCGATGCTCATGATGTCAATCACTGGATAGTCTGTTCCAGATTCGATTATTTACAGACCGCCGTCACGCAGGCGTGCTCAAGGGAGGCAACTTTGCCCTTAATACAAAAAAGCACTGTAATGTGGTTCTTACATTTCAATTTCACTCCTGATCAGTATCAATGAACTAGCAGTGAGGTGAGGTGAATTTGGGTTTAACGTCGCCTCCAAGATTATTGCACTTATATAGCGACGTGCATATACATGTGTGTGTGGCTGCTTGTACTAGTCCGGACCGATGCCGATTTATAGTGCTAGTCCACTGAGATACCTCGCCGCAGTTTAACATGAATATCCCACTCAGACACAGTATATTGACTCCGAGCCGCCCAGTCCTTGTTTTAGCCCCTTAATGCCGGGCGCCAGACAGGGTAACAACAAGTACCACCTTTTAACGTATTTTTGGTATGATGTGACCGGGGATCGAACCCCGGACCTTCCGCTCTCCGGGCGGACCCTCTACCATTAGACCACGGAGGCGGTCGATCATTAGTATAAACACCGAGTCAGTTAGCCTTGTATACAGGAAGCGTCAGCATTATCAATAAATATAAACGATGTGTCATGTGTCTATGAATCATAATCAGATCGTGATGATACCAGGTTTTAACGAAAAGGTGAGCGTATCCTCTCCCACCGGTGGCACCCATCACAAACACACGCTAAGGCGGGTCAATTGTTCACACACGGGAACAAACGGTACACGCTAAAATACATGTAGGGAATTGTATCTCACTCCAAACCCAGACAGAACAGGCTATGTTCGCCACACAGGCTTCAGAAGAATCTAGCTCTATAAAACCGCCCCCCGTCCACGCGAACCAAAACACATTAGTCACACAAAGTTCAATTAAGGTATATGTTACAGATATACTGATCACTTGCTATGTTTTGATTCCCCTGCAATCAATAAAAGGGGGCGGTTGAAGAGCTCCACTTACAAAAGGACATACGATACGAATGTCAATGACAAAGTTGCTGAACGAAAGCTCCTTGACGCCAACATCAAGTTCAAAATAAAGCGACATTCAATACCATTGCCAGCACGCAATAGTCACACAAATCGTGAAAAGATATATGAATTGGATAATGCACAGAATTGATTATACAGTAAACTACGGTTATAACGAACACGCTTATAACGAACTGACGGATATAACGAACTTACTTTGTGGTCTCGACTACTTGCTGTAGTCATGCTGTATATGTACTTATAACGAACTACGGTTATAACGAACTAAAATTAGTAGTCCCTTTTAGTTCGTTATAACCGTAGTTGAATGTATTTCAGTTTGTTAGCATGGAGAAAACAAATCGCCCTGTTTCAAAACATACATTCCAGGTAAATCGAACACCGCAACATGTTACAAAATGTCACATTAAAAGCTTCAACAGCAATATGCCATATTACCTATATACAATTTATTTCAACGATGCATATCACAACATCTGTGATAGCATTATTGCTTAAGGATGGGAAGCCTGAGCCAATCACAAATATTTAAGGGACAAAAATAAAACTAGTTCTGTACATACATAGAGTGCAATACCTGGTTACTTATACTATATTCGTAGGGACGATGGGTTAGCTTTAGACTAACATCTAGTCTCTGAAATGAACATATCGTACATAAAAAAACAGTTGTTCAGTTATCTTAATAAAAATATAATAAAAAGGAGCCCAGTGACTCTCTTCATTTTCAGAGTGATCTAGACTTGCCAAACATTATAGACTTGCATGGGCTGTATTTGATATATATATTTGTATCAGGGTCTGTAAGACAGACTAGGTTAGCCTAGCTAGTGGTTACATTTGTCGCTCGTCACGTCTAAGTTCCGAGTTCGATTCCCCATATGGGTACAACACGTGAATTCCATTTCTGGTGTCTCATGTGTTTGCTACGAACAGGGTAAATATATAACGTCCACGCCAGAGAAAACAGACTCCACTGAGCGTGAGAGGCAAAAACAACGTTGAAATTTATATGAAATGATCAGTGAAAATCAGTGATGATACCAGGTGTTCGCATGAAGGGTAGGCGTACCTTGTCCTATAGGTAGCACCCACGCAGGTTTCAAGTAAGTTTGTTTGTTTGTTTGTTTGTTTGTTGTTTAACTGCGCCCTCAGCAATATTCCAGCTATGTGACGGCGGTCTGTAAATGATCGAAACTGGACCAGACAATCCAGTGATTGACATCAAAAGCATCGATCCATCCAATTGGGAAACGATGACATGCATCAACCAAGTCATCAATCCCGTTAGTCGCCTCTTACAAGCATGGTCGCCTATTACGGCAAGTATTGGTTGCTGAAGACCTGTTCTAACCCGGATCTTCACGCGTCCAAAAAGGAATTAAACAATAACTAACTGAACATAACTACAGTAAAGAACGACCTGTAAACACAATGTGTTAGGAACGCGAAGTGATGCTTGTCGTAGACGCTTAACATTTCAATGTTTGTTTGTTTGTTTGTTGTTGTACGCTGCACTCAGCAATATTCCAGCTATATGACAGCGGTCTGTAAATAATCGAGTCTGGACCAGACAATCCAGTAATTGACATCATGAGCATCGATCCACGCAAGTCAACCAAGTCAACCAAGGCAGCGAGCCTGACCAACCCAACCCGTTAGTCGCCTTTTACGACAAGCATAGTCGCCTTTTATGGCAAGCATTGGTTGCTGAAGACCTATTCTACCCCGGATCTTCACCCCGGATCTAACATTTAATGAAACCACCAAGCACGGTGACAAACCAAGGAATATAGTTCAATAAATCAGTGGATCCTGGTAACCAAGGGACGTAAATCTCCATAAGGAACTAAAGCATAAATGATGAATCATGAAGTAACTGAACAAAGGTTTGTTTCTCATAGAAAGTGGCCGGATTGCGCGGTGTTCGAAGTATCAGGGTTCCACTGCTTACAGAAGACTAATTTCCTTACGAACAAATATTTGCAAACTGTTTACAAAGATGAATAAAACGTTGACAGCTTCCTTAAACATATAACGGGCAGTTGTTGGGACTGACGTTCAATATGCTTGGATACAAATTTGTTAAATTGGTGTCATCATTGTCAGGGATCCATACGTATAGTTTCCATCACAATTTTGCCCAATGTTTCGTCGGATAATCGAGATTGTTTTTTCTCTGGCTTTGACGTTTCATATTTGCAATTCAAAACTGTTAATTTTTTTCAAAATTAACAATTGATGAATTTAATTTATAAAACACACGTTGCTACCATTGTGCTACTTCACAAATAATATAATGTTTAATATCCCGTCATCAAAATCACAAATATCAGCACAATATTGCATATTTGAAAGTGTTAAAGGAAAGTTATGAGCATCGCAGATATTCCATGATTCACAGCCGGGCAGCTCGGAAACGTCCACAAATGAATTATTTCATGCAGCCGTTTAAATAGTAGAAAAGCAAATATTGAATAAAATGGCAATATAAAATGTATACCTACCAGATCATCCCAAAAGAAACTGGCTATCAATGTACATGATCCACTTTGAGAAGCGAGTATCGATCTGAACAAGGAACAAGCTCGCACGTCGAGGACAAGGCTCTTCTCGTGGCTGCGAGAGTTGCCTCGTGTGGTTGGACGGCTGAGGGCTCGCTAGTGTTACACGCGGATCGCGGACTCAACCTTGTACGGAGTTACATGCACGTGCCTTGCAGCCAAACGAATGTGATTAACGCAAAATGTTGTGAAAAAAACATACTGTCTGTTATCAATGCGATAGATATATGGTTTAGCTGATTATAGGTGCTGATGGGTTTATTGGTGTGGATGGCGGTTAATAACGTTTGAGTAATACAACACATGTGTGAAGCACTGTATGACGTAAGGACATAATTGATATATATATATATATATATATATATATATATATATATATATATATATATATATATATATATATATGACTAATGTTTTCATTGGAGCTTCACTGAATCTCAAAAGAAACAATGTCATACAACTCGAAGCTCCGTTTATAAATTCAGTAGAATCGTTTGTATATTTTATAACGGAAGTAAATTAATTGTAGCTTTTGTTTAGTTGAACTGTAGAATAGATTAAGAGTATTAAATAAAATTGTCAATGACAAAGTGTTAAGGGCTAGAAATACAAGCCACACAAGTGCAAACATTAATTTTGTATCTTAATGTTTTGAAAACTGTGGAAATGTTTTTTTTGCGATTATCACATGCCATGAAGTCGGTGCGGCGTTAGAGGCCCATTGCCAGCAGGCCCCGCCGTCCACGGTGCTGACGTGCACGGGGCGATGGAGAAACACACGCGAATGCTTTGAGAGCCAAAACACAGTGCCCCCCAGGACACGAGACTAATTAGGGTTGAATTGAATTTTCTATTGCTTCTCTAGAGGCCCCGAGGCAGGGTGCCGTACAACTCCTTGTCACCCATCCTGTAGATGGGCATCCTGCTGGGTCGGATAGCTCTGGGCTACTGTCTGGGTTCAAGCCTGATGCGAGAAAGGAACAGGTTTTGCTGGTTTGTCTTGCAGGCTGGTAAGGAATTGTGTTCAGATAGACCTCCGGGGCATTCACAAATGTCAACCTCAAAAGACAGAAGAGTATTTTAAGGACAATCTTGTGTTCTATATCGGTGACCATTACGGCCGGGCTGCGATCTGACGCTGTGCGTCAGAGTGGTGTATTTATGTGCATACCTACATGCACAGAGTACCAACGCCCCCTGTTGGAGAAAAGGGATAAGTTACTCTTTACGACAACAAATGACGTAACAAATTCGCCCAGTTCGCAAAGGTGACCTAGTTTTTAGATTTGACGGATGTTAATCCCGTCAAACAGGATCCCAGATCCCCAGTGTATCAAGACCCGTGCACATCAAGACAGGTAGCACAGATACACTCGCTTGATATGTCAGCCAAGGGTGTATCAAGGGAAACGGAAGAGTTCATTTTCTTACAGGGACTGTACAGTTTGTTTGTTTGTTTGTTGTTTAATGCCGAACTCAGCAATATTCCTGCTACATGACGGCGGTCTGTACATAATCAAGTCTGGGCTAGACAATCCAGTGATTGCCATCATGAGCATCGATCCGCACAATTGGGATCGATGACATGCTTTAGCAAAGTCAGCCATCCTGACCATCCGATCCCGTTAGTCGCCTCTTATGACAAGCATAGTCGCCGTTTGCGGAAAGTATGTGTTGCTTAAGACCTATTCTACCCCGGATCTTCACGAGTCCTGTAAAGCATGAAACAGATTTGCACGTGCCTTTGGAAAGCAAGATTGTCGTTTGTAATATCATGTAATTAACGCATTTATGCATTTATTAGTAAACACCTCGTCAAAACACTTTTGATGTAATAAAGGCATCAACACTCATGTTGAACAGTCCATACAGAATACGTGGCTATGAGGTGGCCTAGTGGTTAAAGCGTTCGCTTGTAACGCCGAAGAACGGGACGATTCCCCACATGGATGCAATATGTGAAGCGCATTGAATGGTGTCCCCCGCCTTATGTACTGGATATATATTGCTAAAAGCGGCGTAAAACAATACTCACTCACCCCCCCTACGTGATACCTAGTCACCATCCTAGTCACCTCAGTGTCACGTCTCCTGCAATCCCCGTAATTACCGACCGCCTCCGTGGTCTAATGGTAGAGCGTCCGCCCGGAGAGCCGAAGGTCCGGGGTTCGATCTCCGGCCGCGTCATACCAAAAGACGTTAAAAGATGGTACTTGTTGTTACCCAGTCTGGCGCTCGGCATTAGGGGCTAAAACAAGGACTGGTCGACTCGGAGTCAGTATACTGTGTCTGAGTGGGGTATTCATGTTAAACTGCGGCATGGTATCTCAGTGAGCAAGCACTATAAATTGGATTCAGTCCGGACTAGTACAAGCAGCAACACAAACACACACGCGTGCATGCACATCGCTTTATAAGTGCAATAATCTTGGACGCGACGTTAAACCCCATTTCACTTGACCTCACCTCACCTCACCCCCGTTTACCGCCGTCATATAGTTGGAATACAAGCAAACAAACAAACAAACAAATTTTTTCCAACTGACGATATTGGTGCCACTTCAAAACTATCCCCTGCAGTTTCAATAAACACTAAAACACGTGTAGTCAATCAGCGGCTCGCAGCCAACAGCTGGGACTGGTCGCAGGACGGGAACACAATCTTTTTTAAGCTGTGTTTGTTTTGTGACTGAAACATACCATATTGATCGTGTATGTCTGGCACAGACCCAGACCGTTACATCTTCTAGATGGAATTCCGACAAAAACAAAGAATTTGTTGCACTGTCTGCCGAATCAGGGGTGCAGTTCTGTACCTGTTTCCGAGATTCCTCCAGACCACCATACAGTGTTGTCTATCACATAAAGAATAGACCCGTGAAGATCCGGGTTAGAATAGGTCTTCAGCAACCCATGCTTGCCGTATAAGGCGACTATGCTTGTCGTAAGAGGCGACTAACGGGATCGGGTGGTCAGGCTCGCTGATTTGGTTGATGCATGTCATCGATCCCAATTGCGTGGATCGATGCTTATGATGTCAATCACTGGATTGTCTGGTCCAGACTCTATTATTTAAAGACCGCTGTGGTATAGCTGGAATATCGCTGAGTGTGGCGTTAAACAACAAAGAAAACAAAACAAAACAAAACAAAACATAGTGAATATCTCAAGAAAGCCAGGTAATCATTCATTTACGCGTGTATTAATTCCCTCATGCTTTACAACGCTCTCGAAAACATGTTTTATACCCGTCTTATATACATCTTCTAGATGGAATTCCGACAAAAACAAAGAATTTGTTGCACTGTCTGCCGAATCAGGGGTGCAGTTCCGTACCTGTTTCCGAGAATCATCCAGATCACATAAAGATTAGACCAGTGACGATTCCGGGGTAGAATAGGTCTTCAGCAACCCATACTTGCCGTAAAAGGCGACTATGCTTGTCGTAAAAGGCGACTCACGGGATCGGGTGGTCAGGCTCGCTGACTTGGTTGATACATGTCATCGATCCCAATTGCGTGGATCGATGCTCATGATGTCAATCACTGGATTGTCTGGTCCAGACTCGATTATTTTACAGACCGCCGTCATATAGCTGGAATATTGCTGAGTGCTGCGTTAAACAACAAACAAAGAACAAAGAAAAAGAAAGAACAAGCACTCCATCGACGACCAGGGTGCATTCTAATCGCATTTGGATAACCCTTTGGCTTATATTATCCAAGCTGCAGTTAGGTGCCACGTCACCATCTCATCCCACCGGGTACCCATCCGCGGCTGGATGATCAGAGGTAACTCAACATATTCACTTGTTTGCGAGACATGCCATGTTTCAGAACCTGTGATTCTGTGTGGGACCGAAGCCCTTGAAATAATCAGGCATCAAACTCAACGAGTGCGGACATCCATCCACCTACTCTCCGCCGTCAGCACAGCTGAACCCGATGTGTTACTTATAACGCCATGCTCAGTACCAATCCTCATCACAAAACAAACCAGTGTGAGACATCTGCCATGTTTTGGGAGCCAAATAAATTTTTTTACTATGTTCTCTGCTTCCTAGCATTTATTCACCAGGGCCCCGTTCCGCAAAGCGATCTTAGCGCTAAGATGTTGTAACTGCCATACTTTAACACAGAATTACGATACTCGTAGCGCTAAAATTGCTTTGTGGAACGGTGCTCTGGGGAAGGTAGTATATACTCCGAAACGTTGTGTTTCTCATAATGATAAAAGAAGTTGACATCCATACATTCTCTTTCTTAACTATCATTTCCTTTCTGCGGCTTGGTGTGCAGAAAAGTACTTCAGCAGCTGTCAGCATCTTTCGGTGAATTAAAGCGCCCATGCCTTAGGGGTATATAATTCGTGTTGCTAACTGTCAAAAAAGAAATTCTATCTTTTTTTATGGGAGCAGACCTGGGACGAACCTGAGGCATTTTACAAGTGTTGGCAACATTGGACATAGAAATTGCGAAACAGTTTTGCGAGAACGGTTGAGGTATCATTTTCCGTGTCTGGCTTGGAGATTCTGTGTCTTGGATTCAGTTTCTCGGAAACTTGACTTTCCCTCATTTTAACGCTGTGTGGGACATCTGACTGCAAATCATACGACATGACAATGTGATGTGTCCAGACAAACGCTATACGAACCGAACGTCTAATATACCAGAGCAGCTTAGCTTCCCTTTGAAAGAGGGCTATTACTCCAGGGAACGGGCTGATGGATTGCCACGGAAGACTATCACTGAGAAAGTTAATTCTTTGCTGTAAAAAAATGACATTGAACAATGTGAAGGCAATTTTCTTTTTACCCATAGGACAGTTACGCCACTGTACGAGGCTCAGTCAACTTAGGTGCCACAATTCGCTGCGCGGATTACTTAGGCGAGACAAAATCCTCATTCTTGATCGTCACGAATCATAACGCTACCTAAATAATACCTCGGACAAATAATGAGTAACCACATTGCATAACTTCACTTGTAAACATGGCGTCAGATCCTGTCGTATGACGGCTGGTTTTGGAGACAGATTCTTTTTTGTTTAACGGAAATTAAGTATTCACTTTGAT